TTTTTTTAAATAAAGGGGTGTCTGCGTTCTGATTTTCTCGGTGGGGTTTCCCCAGTTTTTAGGTTTTTTACATCATTAAATTTTTTTAAAGGTTTAGTCGGACACGGGGGAATGTCGTGAGATTTTTTGGTCGGGTGTTATGCCTGTGGGTTTTCACAACTATCAAGAAAGCGTTTGGGGTCAATTTTAATTTGGAATTTAAGGTCCTGAAAGATGTAGATTGCACAGTAAAGTGAGGATTACTGAACAGGGAAAGTTAAATCTATGAAAGGGGGGGGGGGGGCCCCCGGGGAGGGGGTTTTATGATTATTCAAACTGGGGGCTTTTTGTTGGGGTTTTTATTGGCTTTGGGGTTTTTTGCGCAGTTGAACCCCAAGCACAGAAGCATAGGTGGGTAGGATATATAAGTGAAGGGTAAGTGTGAGAAGGGCATTTGCGGCACGTAGCGTATCTTGGAGAGATCCCAACCTTTTTGGATATTTTTTTTTAGTTTGGATATGGTGCTGAAGTTTCAGTTTTTTTGTCGAGGTATAGGCCTGGAATTTGCCCTCATTACCCTGTAATTTAGAGTGTTGTCGATTTTAATTTAATTTGCGCATCTCCCTCTGCTCCCAAAACCCAAAAGTTTTGTCAACGTTAAGCGAAATTTTTATTGCTGTCTCCAAGTCGATATTTTGATCACTCCTATTAACAAGGTGTTGGGGTTTGCAAGATAGGGTGAAGATGACAAAGTCGTGTCCCAGCAAGAGAAGGGGGTTCGGGGTCGAGATATTTTTGGGAAATCATTGAGTATATGAGGAAGAGCGGGGGCCCAAAGGGGACACTCCCTGGGGAACTCCAGTATCAAATGGGTGTGTTGTTTTATCTGTGTCTTTAATGGTGACATTTGAACCCATTTGTAAGGTAAGATTGAAATAGCAACGCAGGGCCTCTTATACCATAATGGGCAAATTTGTGGGGTAGGATGCCGTGGGCTACTGTGTCAAAAGCTTTTTTCTTTGGTCAAAAAAATTCCCCATGGATATTTCCCTTTTTTTCCAATGCGTGAAAGCAGATCTAGCATTTTTTTTGATGGAGTGAAGATGGTGAAATTTTCTTTATCGGGCTACCGCCCCGGGGAATCGGCCAGTGTGAAAAAAAAAATAATAAATAATGTAAATAAACGTAGATCACTTTTGGGCACTACACTGTGAACGTAGATCTGCTTGGACGTTTCGGGTTAAAATCCATTTAACCATTTTCCTAATCCCTTTAATCGTCCAAACCCATCTCCATTCCCACCATTCAATCACAATTACCAAAAACCACGGGTAGTAAGAAAACACCTTCTTGTACTTGGGATTACTGTTACAAAAAAGAACAGTGAATTACAATAAGCATTCTCAAGGGGTTCCTTTTTTTTGAATACCGGGGATAAAATGTGTTCTTAAATGTGCGGGGGTTGCTTAAATGTCGGGGATTAGTGCGGATGACAAGAAACAGATGATTGCTGATGTTTAAATGAAAAAAGTTGGGGATGTCCGGGCCCTAAGCGAAAAAAAGCTAAAGGGGGGTAGGAGAGTTTCAGGGGGGGAAAAAAGGGGGATTAAATCGGGATTATCGAGAGAGTTAGGCAAAGGGAAAGGGGGTAGCAGAATGTTAAATGATCATTATGGAAGGAAAAAAGAGAAAATAAATGGTAAAATTCAGAATTATGTGGTTTAAAAGTAAAGGTGGATGCGAAAGTGGGTCATAAAAGCTGTATGAAACCTGGAGAAGAGAGGAATCAGAGAGAAGAGAGTTTTTGGGGAGAGTTAAGTAAAGTATGGGGGGGGCCTTTGAACCAAGTGAGAGAATTGTGGGAGGAGACCTGAATGCTAAAGTAGGAGAAAATTTTAGAAGGGGGTGGTAGGGAAGTTTGGGGGGCCCGGTGTAAATGATATGGGGGCCCTTTTATTGAACTTTGTATAGAAAGGGGGTTTGTTATAGGTAATACAAATTTTAAAAAAAAGAGATAAATAATAAAACAATATTTGGGGGAAATTACAATTTGTTGGATTATTTTTTGGAGATAAAAAAACGTTGAGTAGACTTTAGGATGTCATTTTAAAGAGGGCCACAGATAATCAATCACTTTCTAGTTTTAGCTACACTGAAGTAAAAGGTAATGGGGTACAAAGGGGAATAGAAGTTCAGGGAAAGGAAGGGGAAGGTTTATAAACTAAAAGAGGAGGCATTAGGGTAAGATATAAAAACTATTGGGGAAAAGATGGCTAAGAAGCATAGGAAATGGGGTCGAAGAGGATGGGGTAGGTTTAAAAATGTAGTGTTAGAGTGTTCGCGAATTTGTGGTTACAGGAAAGTGGGTGCAGGGGGGAAGAGGGAGCGATTGGTGGAATGATGATGTAAAGAGAGTATAAGGGAAAAAAAGTTAGCATATGAGAAGTTTTTACAAAGTAAAAAGTGATGCAAGGAGGGAAGAGTATATGGAGAAAAAAGAGAGAAGTTAAGAGAGTGGTGAAGCAATGAAAAAAGAGAGCAAATGAGAGAGTGGTGAGATGTTATCAACAAATTTTGTTGAAAATAAAAAAAGTTTTGGAGTGAGTTTAACAAGTTAAGAAAGCCTAGAGAACAAATGGATTTTTTCAGTTAAAAATAGGAGAGGAAATTATAAATGGAAAATTAGAGGTATTGGGAAGATGGAAGGAATATTTTGAGGAATTGTTAAATGTTGATGAAGATAGGGAAGCTGTGTTTTCGTGTATAGGCAAGGAGGAATAACATCTTGTAGGAGTGAGGAAGAGCCAGTTGTGAGTGGGGGGGAAGTTCGTGAGGCAGTAGGTAAAATGAAAGGGGGTAAGGCACCCGGGATTGATGGGAAAAAAGATAGAAATGTTAAAAGCGGGTGGGGATATAGTTTTGGAGTGGTTGGTGCAATATTTAATAAATGTAAAGGAAGAGGGTAAAGGTACCTAGGGATTGGCAGAGAGCATGCATAGTTCCTTTGTAAAAGGGAAAGGGGATAAAAAGAGTGCAAAAATTATAGGGGGGTAAGTCTGTTGAGTGTACCTGGTAAAGTGGTATGGTAGAGTTATAATTGAAAGAATTAAGAGTAAGACGGGGAATAGGGTAGCAGATGAACAAGGAGGCTTTAGGAAAGGTAGGGGGTGTGTGGACCAGGTTTTAAAAGTGAAACATATAAGTGAACAGTATTTAGATAAGGCTAAAGAGGTCTTTGTGGCATTTTTGGATTTGGGAAAAGCGTATGACAGGGTGGATAGGGGGGCAATGTGGCAGATGTTGCAAGTGTATGGTGTAGGAGGTAGGTTACTGAAAGCAGTGAAGAGTTTTTAAAGAGGATAGTGAGGCTCAAGTTAGAGTAAAGTAGGAAAGAGGGAAATTTTTTTTCCCCGTAAAAGTAGGCCTTAACAAGGATGTGTGATGTCACCGTGGGTTTTTTAATATATTTATAGATGGGGTTTGTAAGAGAAGTAAATGCGAGGGGCTTGGCAAGAGGCCCCGGAGTTAAAAGATAAAGAATCACACACAAAGTGGGAGTTGTCCCCAGCTGCTCTTTGCTGATGGGCACTGTGCTCTTGGGAGATTCTGAAGAGAATTTGCAGAGATTGGGGGATGAATTTGGTGGGGGGCAAAAAAAAAATTTTTGGGGGGGAATCAGGAAAGAGAAGGTTATGAGATAACAAAAAGATTGGTGATAAAGATTAATATCAGATTGGGGAGAGATTTAGGGAGGGGTGAATATTCAAATTTGGGAGTGGACGGTCAGGGGGAGGGGTCTATGAAAGATGAGGTAATCATAAAAATGATGAGGGAAAAAAAAGTGAGTGGTGCACTTGGTTGGGAGAAAAAGAACTTTGCCTGGAGGCAAAGAGGGGAAGTATGAGAGTATAGTTTTTACCAACGCTCTTAATGGGTTTTAAGCGGGGGGTGTTTGAATGTTGCAGCAGGAAAGGGCTGGGGGCAGGGGAAATGTCATGTTGGGGGCAATGTGTGGTGGAAAAAAAGCAGAGATTCGTATTTTTGGAAGTTAGGAGGAGGGCGGGATTACCAAAACTTTGTCCAGAGGGCTGGGGAAAGGGTTTTTGAGGTGGTTCGGACGGAGAGAGAATGGAGCGAAACAAAATGACTTAAAGAGTGTATCATCGTAGGGGAAAGGGAAGGCGGGGTGGGGGTGGGCCCTGGGAAAGGGGTTTTGGGGGGAGGGGTAAAGGGGGTTTTTGTGCGAGGGGTTTGGTTTCCAGCAGGCATGCGGAGCGTTTTTGATAATGAATGGAGAAAAGGGTTTTTTTAATACTGACGGCGTTGGAGGTGAGCAAAGTAACATTTATGGGGGATTAGGGAAACCCGGGCAGGCCGGATTGATCATGGAGAGGGGAAAGTACAGTGCCTGCATTTAAAGGAGGGGTGTTAATTTGCAGTTAAAAACTGTAGTGTAAAGCACCCTTCGGGAAAGACAGTGATGGGTGAAGATGGTGAAAGTTTTTTTTTTTTGGGCCCCCC